ATCCTTTACCACCTGGGAAAGGACAATGTGGTGGCCGATGCCCTGAGCCACAAGGCGGTAGCGGCTCCGATACGGGATATTTGTCTGAGGATGACAGTGATTACTCCACTTTTGGAGAAGATCCAAGAGGCGCAGGTAGAGGGCATGAAGGAAGAGCGCCGAAAGTGTCAGCGGATCATAGGCCAAGTGGCCTCTTAAGACTATGATAGTCGTGGGTTGTTAACCCTGCATGGGAGGGTCTGGGTTCCGTATTGGGGTGGAGTATGATAGATTCTGATGGATGAGGCCCATAAGTCGAGGTTCTCTATCCATCCCGAGGCAGCGAAAATATATCGGGATCTTCGCCCTGATTACTGGTGGCCCTGCATGAAGCGAGACGTAGCATGGTATGTAGAGCGGTGCTTGACCTGCAGGAAGGTCAAGGCCGAGCACCAGAGGCCACATGGCAAGATGCAACGGCTAGATGTTCCCATGTAAAAATGGGAACATATCACCATGGATTTCATTACAAAGCTTCCCACGACCGCACGTGGAGTTAACTCGATATGGGTCATCGTGGATTGGTTGACCAAGAGTGCTCATTTTATCCCGATCCAGGAGAGTACATCGGCCGAGAAGCTGGCCGAGATTTATGTGCATGCCTGTCTCGGTGGTGTCAAATCGAGATGTCCGTTTTACTTCCAGATTTTGGAAGCGGTTTCACGACGAGATGGGTACTTGTCTCCATTTCAGCACCGCTTTCCACCCCAGACGGATGGGCAGAGTGAGAGGACGATACATACACTCGAGGACATGCTTCGTGCATGTGTTTTGGATTTCGGTGGCAGTTGGGATATGTATCTTCCGTTAGCGGAATTTTGGTATAACAACTGTTACCACGCCAGCGTAGATCGGCCTCCCTTTGAGATGCTCTACGGGAGGAAGTGTAGGACCCCAATATGTTGGGGGCGAGGTCGGTCAGAGATTCATAGGGTGTACCGAGGTGGTATTCAAGACTACTGAGAGGTTTCAGCAGGTCCGGAGCAGACTTTAGACTACTCAGAGTCGGCAGAAGAGCTACGCCGACAAGAGGCGTTCAGATTTGGAGTTCCAGGCGGGCGACATGGTCCTCCTGAAGGTGTCACCTTGGAAAGGTGTCATCCGGTTCAAGAAGCGGGGCAAGCTGGGCCCCAGGTACATCAGTCCGTTTAGGGTTTTGGCCCGGGTGGGTCGGGTTGCTTACCGGTTGGACCTTCCAGCAGAGCTCAGCCAGATCTACAACACTTTCCATGTTTCTCAGTTGCGGAAGTGCTTAGTGGACGATTCAGCAGTAGTACCCCTTGAGGATATTCAGGTTGATGACAGCCTGAACTACATTCAGCGACCAGTAGCTATCCTTGACAGGAAGTCGAAGGATCTTAGGAACAAGAGGGTGGAGTTGGTAAATGTGCGGTGGCAGCACCGCAAGGGGTCAGAATGGACTTGGGAGCCGAAGGACGAGATGAGGGAGCACTACCCCGAGCTGTTCACGGATGCAGTAGCAGACTTCAAGGACGAAGTATAGAATAAGTGGGGGAGATTTGTAATGCCCAGTTCTCGGTACGTATTTATTTTAAGTTTTTGCATTTTTACTCTGGGACTCGACGAGTTGGAGGCCCAACTTGTCGAGTAGATGTGAGTTTTGGGATGCGGGTGGAAGAGTCTACTCGCCGAGTCGGAAGCCCCGACTCGACGAGTAGACCTGTCTGGATGAAACCCTAAATTTGAGGGTTTGCACCCTATTTAAACACATTAAGTGGCCTCCACTCCAACCTCCATCACCCTCAGACCCCATTCTCGAAACCCTAATCAGTTGTGAGTGTTCTTGAGCTATTAGGTGCCATTTTTATGATTTGAAGCTTGGAGAAGGAAGAAAAGGCTCGGAGGTTCAAGAAGAAGGCAGTGGATCCAGACTCTTGGTTCCATTTCTAGCTTGTTTGAGGTAAAAAGCTTCAACCTTGACTTCCCATTTGTTAGATCTTCTTTAGGGCTTGAATCTTGTCATTTTTGGGGCATTTCTAAGTCACTTTCGGGTTTATTGTGTATAGTAGAGTGATGACTTCAGATCTTTGAACCTTGGAGGGTTCTCATGGCATAAAGGTGCCAACTTTATGGCCATGGGAGCCCCATGCACCTTGTAGACTTCATTTTTGGGTCTTTTAAGCTTGAAGACCCATGCATGGACATAAAGTTCGTGACTTGACGTGTTATATCGACCCCACGAGGTCAAATCTACCCTTTGGATGCAATGAGCTTGACAGAAATCGATTGTATGGACATGGACTTTGGGGGACTCGCCAAGTTGTTCATAAGACTCGGCGAGTCGGGTATTGGTTCCCCAACCTTTTCTGTTTCTGAGGAATCTGGTTGAGTCTAGAAGGGGAATCAACAAGATGAACGTGAATATGGACTTGAAGATCAAAGGACTCGATGAGTTCAAGGATGAACTCGGCGAGTTCAAGGCAATGTCCCGACTGATATGAAGATGAACTCGACGAGTTCAAGTAAGGATTCGACGAGTTCAAATGGAAAGTCCCGATTCTTTCATAAGGAGAAACTCGGCGAGTTGGAGAGCAACTCGACGAGTCAGGTCGAAAGTTGAGATTCTCTGAGTTATGGAACTCGACGAGTTGGTGGACCAACTCGGCGAGTTGAGTCAAGCACCACGATGTTGACCTTGACCATTGACCTGAGTTGACCCTTGATTAGGGTTAGGAGTATGTAATGAAAATTAAGGTAGGTTGTTATGTGTAGGAGTTTGAGGAGTTGTGAAGAGTTGATCGCGACATCGAGGACAGTCTAGACACTTCACGACATTGAGGTGAGTTACCCTCCAGTAGCGGTGGGTCTACGGCCACAATGTCGGCCCACTAGTAGGAGTTGTATGTTAGATGATTATCTTTGTGATAATTATCTAGGTTTGCTACTACCTAATATGTTTATGTGCTAGCCTGATATGATGATATGTTAGTAGCAGTAAGGTGAAATAGTCCCCGTAGCCGGTTGTGATAAACCGGAGGGTAGGTCGGGCTCCCCAGAATTGTCTGGCAGGGTAGTAAAGCACCCGAGAACTGCTTGACATGGGTAGGTCGGGCACCCCAGAAATGTCTGGCATGGTAGGTCGGGCACCCCAGAATTGTCCGGCAGTATGTATGTTGTATGATGGTATGTGGTATGATGGGGAAACTCACTAAGCTTCGTTCTTACAGTTTTCAATTTTGTTTCAGGTACCTCCTCATCGAAGGGGAAGGAGTCGACACTGTAGCAGCGCATCGCACACATATGATTTCCGCATTTTGAGATCCATGGGATTGTACTCTGACATTATTATTATTTTGATGATATGGTTTGAGATGTGTCTATGATTTTATGAATTGAAGTAACTCAATGATGTCTTCTTATAAATTGTTTTTATAAATCGTTTGTTAAAAAAAAATGAAATTTTTTGGTCTTGAAATTGGGATGTTACACATATTTATTCTCATTTTAGTCTAAGTCTATATATATAGAAGTTGGATTGAGTAAGGACTGCGAAGACAAATATTTACCGTAAAATTGAAAAAATAAAAGGTTAAGATTTAATTTTATTTATCGTCAAAATCTCGCAAGATGGTATGACGTTTTTGTAATTATATGCGAGATTTCTGTATTTTTCGGGAAATGTTAATTGTTTGGAGGGTTAAATAAGCAAAAAAAAAAAAAGAACGGAACGCGTCCAGCAATGGGTAACCGTGTTACCCTTTCATATCTTATATGATGGTCAAATAGACCCGACAAGATGTATTTGATTTCCTTAAAAGGCAAAAATTAAGTTAGAAGACTGATTCGATAAAACTCAAAACATTGTAGGACTACAATGTCATTTTCTCTATAATTAATTATATAGAGACTAAGATCGCACTTCCTTCACTTCGAAGTATAAATCGGTACTTAATAGTAAAAAAAGAAAGTATAGTTGTTACTCTACACAAAGTGCGAATAAACTTTAAATAAACTATATGCCCTCAACAAAGTTGTATTTGCACTATCACTTACATTGTGCGGTTTCTTATTTTATTTTATTTTAAAATTTCAGCAAGGTTGTGAGTGGGATGCTAATTCAGTTCTTTAAGCTTTTCTTTGCTCCGCAATTTAAGAAAAAAAATATATAGGAAAGTTCGCTACTAAGTTTTGTTTATTTGCTTCTATGAAGTTAATTATTTCTAAAAACACCGATTTACTTCGTCTATATTTGTGGTCAAAATGGTAGATCAGTGATGAATAATTAATGAGAAAAAGGGAATATGTATATCTTATGGGATGGTGGCTGATGGTGGTTTTCTGATAGACGGACATGGTGCATGTCGGGTTTAGTTTTCTCCAAAAGATGCCTGCGAGAAAAAAAGGAGATTTTGAAGGAATATATTTGCATTTGGTTTCCTCAAGTGATGTCCATTATCAACCATTTTTAATCAATCTATCAATTCCTTAACTCAATCCCATATTCCGTGAAAATTTCTTTTTACTGTAGCACTTGTCAGCACCCATGTTGATGCCACAATCAAGCATGTAGCAATCCCATCTGAGCTATAAAAAAACTCATCGTAAAACTCATCAACCTTTGTTAAGAGGACTTTAGTTAAAGACGGTATTTAAGAGAGTAACGAGAACACATACATACATACATACATACATTTTTACATACATACATACATACATATATGTAAGTATTACTTTTTATATATGCTTTATTGTAAAAAGATGCGGTAAATCTGATGGTAAATGTGGATTGTATTAAGTAATTAAGGTATCTGATACTTTCGTCTTAACTAATTATCCACGATGTCGATGCAAGTAACTGCTGTTCAAACATTAGATGAATAATTTACCATGGCTAATTAGATGCGATTCTCATAGTGAAAAAGGTACTTTTTGACATTGCTTCCACGTCCATGTCTGCATATATATCCAATACAGTATAAGTAGAGCCCTCATCTCCCCTCCCTGTGGGCGTGTGTGAAATTAGCTACAAGCATCGACCCTTAAGCAACACAAACACAACACGGTTTGGAATATATTATATATATTACAAACACGTACAAAGGATCGAAACTGAAGGAAGAGATGCCTTCTCTAACATCTGAGAATATCTTCTAGACTTGGTTTCCTTTTCTCCGAGTTCTCTCCCAACTCTTTATTAATTTAAATATTTAAACTTCATTACATATGGCAAACCTACGATCTGAGAGCCTATTTGGATCTTTCATCTCTGCCGTGATCAGCTACTGTTTCAGCTATCAAGCAAGCTACAAGACCAAAGACCACCTCATACACGTGCACGACATGCCTAAGGGTCGTCGCCCTCTTTCTTTACAGGTTAATTTTCTGGTACTATTTCTTATTTGATTCCCTAGCTATATGGATTTCTATTGACCCAATTACCCAAAAACTGTCGTTGTAACTTGTAAGTCCAAAAAGTTTGTTGATGGGAGGGCAACAGAATGAACAAAAGAGTTATTAGGATAACCATGTTCACCTTTGTTGTTGGGGCCTAAAAAGTGGGGATCAGCATCTTTTATTTTATTTTAATCATGTTTTAACAACTTTGCTTTACTGGATAGACCATCGAGCTTCAAGTCAGGATGTGCTGCACCGGATGCGAGCGGGTTGTCAAAAGTGCCATCCACAAGCTTAGAGGTATACATGTTCAGCCGATGCATGTTCACGTGTGACACGACTAAACTAGATTGGACATAACATTCCATACTTTGTTTGATGTCCATTGGACTATGACGCATGGTCCCACCTAAAAAGGTGGGACACACTGTCAACCTTTTGATAGTATAAAAGACATTAATGTCCTTATGATCCTCATTATTGATCAACTTAGCCTAAAAAGCTTGTTGACTCTATTCGGTTCATTTTAGTCTTGTCCCGTTATTGATCAACTTAGCCTAAAAAGCTTGTTGACTCTATTCGGTTCATTTTAGTCTTGTCCCGTGTAACATATAGATGAATATGTTTGATGTTCTTGACATGTTCTTTTCCAGATTACTTGATTGGTTTCTATCTTTTCAAATTGATCAAATAGGGGTTGATTCAGTGGAAGTGGAGCTAGAAATGGAAAAGGTGACGGTGATTGGTTATGTGGATCGGAACAAGGTGTTGAAGGCTGTGAGGAGAGCTGGGAAGAGGGCAGAATTTTGGCCTTTCCCCAACCCACCACTATACTTCACATCCAGTAGCACCTACTTCAAGGACATGAATAATGAATATAAAGAGAGCTACAATTACTATAGACATGGATACAACATTGGTGATAGGCATGGCAACATTCCTGTTAGCCAAAGGGGGGACGACAAAGTCAGTAACATGTTTAACGATGACAATGTTAACGCCTGCTGTGTCATGTAGCAACATCTTCGGTTTACTGTAGAATAACTTGGCTTTAATTCGGATAAGGATTGATGGTTGATAAATATGCCAGACATACTAACTGATTGTTGCCTTTTTCGTATAGTAATCTGATGCTATTCTACTGATGCATCTGGTTAACATAACGAATGATAGTTGCAGATATTTGCAAATGAAAAATTCTGTGTTTTGGTATATAATATTCCCGTAATTTATCTTGCTTCAGCATATCGGATTCTTTTCTTTTTTTTCTTCACAAGCATATAGGGATATTTTTTCAAAGTTAAGTTCATCACATTTTCTTTTGGAGAATCTTATTCAAAGAAGAATATTTACGTAATTAAATATTTTTCAAAAACTCTCATTGAAGATTCGTAAAAATGTGA